AAGTAAAGCATAAAAGGGGTATATAATATACTAGTGGGTGACCTTTATGATTTCCAGTAGGGTGGTGAGAGAAAGGCTTGTTGAGGTGACATTTGAACAAAGACTGAAAAAGTGAGTTTTAAAGGTCTGGTGGGATATCTGGGGAAAGAGTTTCGGGAGGCAGAGGTATAAAGGCTGGTGGAGCATGCGGCTTGCGAAGGGTTCTTGTTCGTGGTTGTTCTTTCATGCATTGCCCATTCCTATCAGTTGCCCCTCTCTATTGTTACTTGAACGGTTTTCTTATGAAATTGTATGCACTCTGTTACAACTTTAAAAATCACTGTTTGTCTTGTTTACCATCAATTTTATTTTCTGGTATCATTTTCTTTCAGAACCTGTTTTTTTTTTTTTTTTTAAAGATTTATTTATTTATTTATTTATCCAAGCACTGGGTATAATCCGAAGCACGGGAGGGTGAGAGAATTGACCAGAGCCAGAGCGGGGAACAGAACAGGCAGACTGATGAAATACACTGCTGAGGGGAGCAGCGGGCTGCAGGAGAGATCTGTGCGCCATGTGGGACCCTCCACCTGGCGGCTGGGGATCGAAATGGCTCTGCAGAGGCTGCCAGCAGCTTTGCAGCCCAGCGCTCAACCTCTGCGCCACCAGGGAGGCCCCCCAATGATTTATTCTTGAACCAATATCAGTATTTTAAAAAATTAATTGTATGTTTCAAAATCTGTTTTCAGAATTTGTGTGCCCTTCTATTTTTTCTTCCAAATGGACTTTGGAAATTTGAATCATTTTATCAAACTCCAAAAAAATTACTTGCAGGGTAAGGTAAAAAGTATCAGGCTATTCTGCCCTCTCGCCATCAGGATAGATGACGGAACCCTGCGGTCCTGAATGCATGCCTGACGGCGGGCACTTGGAGTAGGGTGTGGGCATAGGTAGATGGGATTCACCTGGGCTAAGACTGGGCCTTTAAGGGTGGCGTCGCGGGGGCGAACGGAAGCCGAGAGAAGGAGAAGAGAAGTAGAGAGAAGGCCAGAGAGCCCAGATAGAGTGAGGATTTGCTGGGGGCTGGGAGGACTGCCAGCCTCCCGGCCCCCCAGCGCCCCTGCCTGCCATATGCCTGGTAAATCTAAATAGAAGAGCTGCAAAGCCACTGAGGGTTCCAGGACTCCTCCTTCACCTGGTCTACTGGATCAGAAAACCTCCTCAGTGTCCATTTCCTGCCCTTACACTACTGAAACTTTGGCAGAAATTTTAAATTATATATTATGTAAAAATAAATGCAAACAACTAACATCTTAATATGTAATTTTCATTCACATATTTGAGATGTCTTTCTATTTATTCAAATTTTCTTCTGTAATATTCAAATTTTCATATTAACTAAAAGTTTCTCCTTAAGTGTAATATCTTGTTTTTTTGCTGTCAGGTTCTAAAGATTGCTCTTTCAGCATTAGGAAAAGGCTCTGGAGTGGCTAGGGAATTCCACTAGAGAGACAGAACTGCAATCCATTTGCCACCATATACTTCTGGCCAAGTGACTTTAAGCTGGGAATTCTGCTAGCGTGGTTCAGACCAACAGTATCAGCAACATTGGGGAACCTATTACAAATGCAGATTCTTGGGCTTACCCAAGCCTGCTAATTAAGAAACTGAAGTTTCTTAACAACTACCTGTGTTTAACCGGCTTTTCAGATGCTGCTGCTTAAGACTAAGGTTTGAGAAATGACAACTTTAAAATAATGATTTTTAACCTTGGGTGCACAGCAGAGCCACCTATGTAGCCTGTCAAAACCACAAGTGCTTAAGTTATTTCTCCCTCCCCACCCCAACTCTGATCGAATAGATCTGGAGTGGGACCAGGCACAAGGCCTTCTCTCTCCACCAGGTGATTCTGACATATAGCCAGAGCTGAGAACCACAACTCCCTAGGTAGGTTAATATATAAGATGGGAAAGTAATACCTCATTGGGCTGTTGTAGGAATTAAGCGCTATAATTTAAGAGAAAAAATTAAGCATAGTGCCCAACATATGGTAGTTATTGTTATTGTGATTCTCAAACATGAGAGATCATAGACACAGGAAACTGAGGGTCCCGTATTGGTTCATTCAGATTATTGCTGTGATGTTGCCAGGCCATGTCTATTATAGCTCTCATCAACCAGAGCTTTTATATTGATAGTTGTTGGTGGGTCTTTGTACATACTATTTGCTGTCACCCCTTTTCTCTGTGAAGATCTTACCTATAACAGTGTGGACAGGTGACTTGGATTTAAATTACAATCTAGACACTTAGAATTGTGTGACCTTGGGAATAAGATTTAAACCTGTTTTCTCATCTGTGAAGTGGGCCTACAGAGCATAGTGCCCAGCATATGTCAAGTTACTCAGAAAAGTTGACATTACTTGTTTTCACTGCTTGTGAAATCATTCCTGATAATTCAAACCACTTTTCTCTTCTCCATCTTCTTTATTAATAATTTATATTTAAATTGATTGGTAGTGAATGCATGGGTCAGATATACTCAGACCCTAAGATCAACCTCTATCCTCTCAAGACCTTCAATTTGTGCTCAGGATTCTGTTTTTATTCTGAACTTAATGGGCCAATTAGTAGTTTTGTGGCTCTTTTGGGAAGATGTTCTGTACTGAGCACCAATTTAGATTGTTACTGAGGAGGAGCTCAGGTTCTCTGCACTAGACACAAAAATTCCATTTATAGATTCCATAAATGAATCTGTCCTCAGAAAACAAGCTTCCTTAAGTGAAAAAGGTCTTGGAATCTGTTTTGTTCTACTCTAGTTTCTACTTTAATATGAACTTAGTCTATTGCCAGAGCTCCAATTAAGTTAGAAAACTGCATCTGGGTGGCTGCTTGGCCAGTTCTTACACTAATTTTATGATTTCCTGTTTTACTGCCTTTGTGTCATTTAAAAAATATTTCACTCTTAAATTCAGCATGAACATTTTATTGGTTTTCTAGTTCCCAATATTCAGGATTTTATGGTTTGTTTTATCTAAGTCTTCCTGAATATATTAATGTTTGCATTGCTGATTCAATCACAATTTTTTTTAAAAGAAATGCTTTCTTTTGAACTTTAATGAGTCCTTAAAAAATGGTCATGAAGACAGGGTTAACAGATTACAAGACATTACTTATTCTTGACGTTTGCTCCTGCCTCTGAATCTCTTTGACTGGTTCTTTCATGGAATGGGCTTGACGGATAAAAGCATTTTGTCTTCATGTTCATACATGTAGCTATATATATGTGTGTATATATATACACATACATGCAAACATGTATACATATATGCATTTAAAAAAATGAATTTCTGGAAACCACGATTACATAAATAGACTACCTCTCCCATCTACTACTACCTGAACTGCCACGCTGCATGTAAATGTAGGGAATTTCTTATTTTTAGCAGATATTTGTTAACTGCTTAGGAAAAAAATGTAGTTAGATGAGCCATGCTTAATAGGCAAAAAAACTATGTAAAAACATTTAACCTTTTCTCAAATATTTTAATGTTTCATTAATCAATGAAATATTAACATGATTTTATGAAGGTTCAGAGAAAGACGTCACAACCCATGACTTTCAATTCAAAACCCCTGCCTCTTTTTACTATGCCTGTTAAAATCAAGGGCAAAATCATCCATGCACACAAAACACCAAACATTAGAGGGAAAACAGAAGGAGTTTTGGCCATGGCCAGAGAAATCCAATTAAAATATCTGGCTAGTATAAAACTGGAGTTAAAGATTATTTTTTTTGATAGCCATTCGTCCTGTCTTAACCCGTGGTTGCTGGTGTCCTGAAATGTGCTGCCTTCCATGACGTCAAGAATGAACTCTTCCCTTATCCTCTGCTTTCCATCTGGTCCACTGCAGTTCAGAACAGATTGTTTTGAGTTCCACAGCGTTTACTATATCAGTTGGTTTCAGGGTACAGCTGAAGTACAAATAAATGTTAGCTTTGGTTTGATTCTCAGCATGGAGCAGTAGCACTCTAGTGTGCTGCTGAGTTGTCTGCAAGCTTTCCTATCCTCCAGTGCAGACTCCTGGCAGGCGCAGGGGCCAAGTCACGTTAAATCTCTCTTTAAAATAGCATGCTAATTCTCCCGAGTTCCTCTTACACTCAGGCTTCTCCGAAAGTTGGAGATGGTAATGCAGAACATCCACTTAGTTACTTTGGGTTCAGGGGGAGAGCCTGCTTCTCTGCCCAGCATCTGGGGCGATCATTTACCCCAGCTCAGCTGCACTGGCCACGGAACATGTTTGCACTTTCTGAGCAAATCCCTGAGATCCTGCTAATACAGTGTGCGTGCACACACACACATTCATTCAGGGACGGTGTCTATTTGTCTATGTCCTCTACAACTGGCATGTGTCAGGCACCTGGCAGATGCTCAGAGTTCTAAATGGCTTCTCAGCCTCCTGTTGGAATTCACGTCTGTCAGATACAAATTGCCCAAATTTAGGTAGTTTTTATTTTTATCGTCTGTAACATAGACTCTAGCCATACCATCTGGATCATCTATGTTTAAAAATAACGTTTATTTAAACACATATAGTGGGATTCTTACTAGCTCAGGAATTAGTCACAGCAATTACTGCCAATACTTCTAATGTTGCAGGAGGGAAGATCGTAGCAGCTGCAATACATGCGCCTTCTTGCCTATGCACTTTGCTCTTTTCCCAAGAGAAGCAGAAACAGGTTGAAAAGGACTTCAGTATAACAACGTGCTTATATTACTACTGTGCACCACACATAAAAAAAGCTAAGATGGTAGGGGCCTCCCCGGTGGCGCAGCAGTTGAGCGCTGGGTTGCAAAGCTGCCCGCAGCCTCTGCAGCGCCGGTTTGATCCCCGGCCACTCTGCAGCGCCGGTTCGATCCCCGGCCACCGGTGAGGGTCCCACATGGCGCGCAGACCTCTCCTGCCGCCCGCTGCTCCCCTCAGCAGTGTACTTCGGTCCTTCTGCCTGCTCTGCTCCCCGCTCTGGCTCTGGTGAATTCTCTCACCCTCCTGCGCTTCTGACTGTACCCAGTGCTTGTATAAATAAATAAATATAAATCTTTTTTAAAAAAAGGCTAAGATGGTAGTATCTATGTTTTTTAACTACAATAAAAAAGGAAAAAATTCTTAAAAATTTCAGAGACAATGCTAGCAATATCAGAAATCTTGGGGGAAAAAATCAGAGCTTTCATAATCTCACTGCAAAGTCCTTGCTAGAATACGATGAAATCAACAGCTAGCTCCTCAAATACAAGGGTCACTGTTCATAGAAATCTCATCTTGCACACTCTGGTCTTTGACTAAGTCCACACTTTCTCACAGAACGTGCAAAGCGCTTCATGGCCCGGCCTCCATGTCCCAATGACCAAACCTGCTAGTCAATCGTCTTTCCGAATTCCTACAACAGGACAGTGTCTTTTTGTTTCAGGGATTGCAAATGGTGTTTTTGTGCCTTCAACACTTTCTCCATTTCTTCTGCCTAACTCTAGCCTACTCTTCAGAGCTCAGCTTAAATATCATCTCTTTAGGGAGATCTTCTGGAAACTCATGTGAGCTTCGGGCCTCCAGCAATCTCTCTAGATTGATTCACACCCATAGAACTCTGGATTGCAGCATTTAATACAATAATTACATGTTATTAATCTCCCCCACAAGACTGAAAGGTCTATGAGGAAAGGACTGTTGCTCTTTCTAACTACAGTATCACTGGGCCCCAGCCCCCTGTATACAGCAGGTACTCAATACTCTCTTCCCAGACACAGTCTGGGATTTGTTTTATATCTTCCCGGAGGAGTAGGTAGAGAGGCACATAACATTTATGAGCTTAGTGGTATGGGGATGGTGGCTGAAAGACCACAGTGATGAGAGTGTTCAGGGCTGGCTGAGTGATGAAACAGCAACAGGAAGGAGGAGACTACAGGACGTTCATTTAATGAGTTTCCCTCTCCGTTCCCCCAACATCCCTCCCTCTCCCAAAACAAGTCATTAAATTATGATTTACACACTCATTTCTTTAGAGCATGAAGTAAACCTCAGATTATAAAACCAAGGCCAAACTAATTTTGCAGAATTAGAATGTGTCCAAGAAACCAGTCACAGTTAACTAGATTAGGCTTCAACACGGAGATGACTGATATTCCATATCATCTTCAACTCAGGAAGCTTATAATCCTCCAATATGTGGAAAGATAAGAAATACTCTTGCTTCTGCTCTCAGTCATTGAGGAAGACATTTCCTTTCCTGATGGACAAATACTATTTCTTTTTTGCTGCTCTTTTCCCTTCTCCTTTCCTTGGTTTTCCTTTTCCACGAAGCTTCTTGAGACGCAACTGCTCATCCTTAAAATCCTGATGTTCATCCCTGAAAGAAGAAAAAAGATAGCAGTCAAGTACATCAGCACTGTGCCCTTAGGTGGTTCAGGTTATCAGTGCTTGACTTCCATAGGGCACATGCTCAGTTTGGCCCCCCCATACAGATGGGCTGTGCTTCAAAAGTTCACTTGTGAGTCAGTTTCCCTCACAGATACAATGGCACAAATGCAGTTTAATTCCCAGGTCAGCCCGGGAAACCTGCACTGACCTGACACTAACAATCGATCCAACACTAACTATTACCCCAAATATTCCACAACACTAGACTAACCAGTGAGAGGAGCTTCAAGAGCTAGAGACCCTGCAAACCCTAGGAATTAGCAACTGTGGCTAGAGGGAGAAGTCTGGAGGCAACTGCCTTCATGGATACTTCAACCAAAAAGGCTGCCGGGGGAAGGCCAAGGCAGAAGGTGGCCTAGGGATCAGGGCAGCCAGGACAGTTTGTCTATGTGGATGGGTGTAAACTGAAGACTCCCTATACTGTAGGCCAATGTCTGTAGTCTAAGATTAACTACCTAAAAATGCCTAAAAACAGTGCAGTGCTTAAACATGGAAGCTCTGGAATCCATTTGGACCTGGACTCAAACCACAGCTACCATTCAAGAGCTGTGTGACCTTGGATAAGTGACCTACCCAGTCGCACCTTGGTCTCACCTCACTCCTGTAAAGTGTGGCCATAAGATGGCCTATGAATGAAACATAAGAGAGGGGTTCACTGGGCCCAATTTTTAACTCCCTAGGCTGTGTTACAATAGCTTGGTTTTATAGGATATGCTATTTCATTTCATTAATGTCACGGACATAATAGACCACTTTGGGATTGCTTATGATTGTCCCCAAATAATCTACTTGCAACAGAGCAAATTCTTCTAAAATATAAGTCAGATGATGTCCCTTTTTTATTCACAACCTTGGAAATGGCTCCCATTTCATCCAGAGCAAAGGCCAAAGTCCTTCCTGTGGTCCTCAGAGCTTTCCCTGCCTGCCTCCATCCTGGTGCTCTTCTGGAACATGCCAGGCTCACTCCTGCCTTAAGGCCTTTGCTTTGCTCTTGTCTCTGCCCTGGAAGCTTTTCCTCAGGCCCTACATGGCTCACTCACAAGTCTCAGCTTCTCAGTGAGGCTGGTCCTGACTGTCCCGTCTAACACTGTGGCTGTCATAACTCTTGATCCTGCTTGGCCTGCTCCGCTATTTTAACCCCCATGGCACATTAAAGTTTATAATATATCACATACTTTACTCATTTTATCAATTTTTTGCCCCTTCTTTTCTCCCTCCCCATTTGTCAACCCCTAGCCAGAAAGCCAGCTCCAAAGGCAGAGGTCTTTGTCTCTGATGATGATGACACTGCCCTGGCACCTGCTTGCCCGAGTGAGTCACTGTTTCTGAGAACCTGTGCTTCCCTCCCCCTTTGCAAAGCTTTGAGTAATATTTTCTTTATTGAAGATTGTCTAGTTTATCCTGCCTGATGCCACAGGAGGCCTTGCGTTAGAGGCACCGTTTACCATAATGAGTGACAAACACATAAAAATAATTGTGCTCTTTCACAGATAACTAAATGTTAAATATTTTTTCCCTGTCCCTAAAGAGATTCAAGGCTTTGTTTCTCGAACAAATGGAGAGTGGCAGCAAACTGATAAATTAAAATAGCTGGCTGTGATTTTGTTATGGGTTATAATTTTCTACTCAGGAGATCTGCATTCCGATGATGTTATATTTTGGGTCATAATAAAATTATTTTCTGAATCCGGACTGATGGCAAGGCAGTTAGTTCCCAAAGCAATTCCAGAAATACAAAATATGTCATGGATTATAATCTTGAATAATCTATTAAGAAAATGTGTTCTCTTTTGTTCATTTCTGTTTCCTTAGTGCCCATCTTAAGTGCCTGCACCCGGAAGGTACTTAAAATATATCTGTTGGACATATGAATGGACCATTCTTACCTTTCTAGAATGAACCATTAATTTTATCATATTAGAATGTATAGTCCCAAATTAATTTTTATATTATTGTACAAAGACAAGTCCAAGTAAATGTTAAATTGAAAAACAAAGTAGGTGTTTTTATGCAGTTTGAATTCTTTTATGAGCATGTATTAGTTTGGTGACCTTTTTTTTTTAAAGAAAATGACAACATAGGTTATTTAATTTTTCTTTCTAGAGCAGTATGTAGTCTTAAGCACCCACCTCCTGCACAGAGGTGGACATGAAAATGCACGGTGCGAGGAGTCTGAGCAACCTACATACTACTCTTAAAGGCGAACTATAGCTTATTTTAACCAAATTAGTTGATTAAAAAGTGTATCAACTAAAAATACAAAACGCAAGCAGAAGGAAACAGAAACACCAACAAAACCGTCCCCAGGAGAGGAGGCTCCGAGCATCAGCAAGGCCGGGGACTGGCGGTGGAGCAGGGCCTCTGCTCCCCTGACCAACACGACCTGCCACTCTGGGCTGCTGAGGCTCTGCTTCAGGGTTTGGGTCATTTCCCCCACATCCTTCCAGATGCTCTCCGATTATCCTCGGTAGCTCAGTATCAGTCGGTGTTAGTTACACTTTAGACCTAACTAAACCATGTCTTCCAATAGTGCATGTTTCCTTTTTTGTTTTTGGTGTGCCCATTACAGATTAGAGAGAAGCCGTCCCCCCTACCGCCAGCAGTACCTTCTGTCTATCTGGGTGCTATTCTAAGAACTACAAAATAAGGCTAGAAATGCTAATATTTCCCTTTTCTGATCTCTGACAGTTTGTTCTGTTTTGTTTTTACCTGTAGAGGCCAAAAAACCGTAGTGTCCCCATGAGTGCAAAATAGGTGTTGTGATCTGGATACCAGTCGTAAGTCTCCTTCCTCTTGGCCAAAGGCTGCTCACTAAATAGTTTCACCACTTTCATGGATTTGGAATCAGTGGGCCTGGCAACTTCACCAAACAGCCGGGCACTCAGACGACTCATGCGCAAGGCATATTCTGAGAGGGAAGCCATTTCTTGAGCAGCAAAGAGCAAAAGTCCCTACAGCTAATGAGAAAGATAAATAGGTTAGTGTGAAAAATTCCAGGATTGTCTAATGAACACTTCAGAACATGAATACACGGCGAGCCACACTGAATCAGTCCAGAGTTGGCAGGACCTGCCTGAGTAGGAGTTTCTGCAGTTCCTTCCCATGCTTTACATTTGCAAATTCCCCATTTGGTGTTCACAGACTACGTCCCCTTGCTCTACTGTCCTTTTCCACAATGAACTATTCTGCGACTGCTTCTCACTGATAGTCCACCTATTTGTAGACCAGATGAAGAGGACAGGGAAACAAGTTCTCCTACCGCTGCACTATTATTATACCTTCAGAAAACACCCACCTAAGCAATCTGCAAAATAAATATGCTGACTGCTTGCCATCTAAAGGTTTAATCATGGCAGAGAAATAATTATGCTGTTGTCTTTATTATCAGCCCTTTGAACACTGTGCTCCTCAAAGGGCTCCAGATGGCTCTGAGAACTGCTAATGAGTTATGAGGTCATTTAGCCTCGAGGTTGCTAGATTGAATTCTGCCTAGAGACTAAGCCATTAGGGAAAAACAAACAGATAGTAGTCTTACAGAAATAAATGCAACCGCTCAAAAGATCCATATTATTCCAGAATAGGAGGCACTTATAATTGTGATGTTACTTGTCTAATCTTCCATCTTAGAGATTTTGCTGTAATGCAAACTAGCTAAAATCCTTATTAGCCAAAAACAGTAACTTTTCTTTACAGGCATGCAATGTTGAAATTGGTTTAATAATTCAAATATGCAGAAGTTGCAGCTAATATATACCAAAAATTACATAGGCAATACATAAAAATCAAGATTGTTGCTAGTGGAGTAACTACCTCATCCATTCAGATAAGCTATGGGAGATACTGCTGGCAGAACTGCTAGTATGTGAAATATTTGTAGTGATATGAAAGTCTTTGCTGACTGAGAGAACTATCCTGGGTGACAATTTAGTGGGGATGAAAAGGAGTTGAACTCCAAACAGAAAACAGGCATAAACCTATCTTGATAAAACAATGGGAGACCGTAAAAAAACCCCACTAGAAATCATCGTTAAACAAGAATGCCAAGTACACTTCAAAACAGTTCTTTTAAGAAAACAAAACAAACCCAGTGTTTGAATCAAGAAATTTTTAATGTCCATTTCAGGACCAGGGGCTGACTTGATACCAAATACAGAATGTGAATCTCGTAAACATTTACCATTCTGAACACCTAACCATGCAATCTTGGGTTAACAGTGCCACCTGAAGGCCAGCGATGGGAGAACTGTCCCAACCAAGGTCTCTCACCATCAAACTCCCCCACCTCCATCCCTTGGGATCCTGGACAAGCACTTTCAGTAGTGTTCCTTTTCCTTTCCAGCCTTTCAGTTCCCAGACTCACTTCCCTCCTACCTCTGCTCCGAATGGGTTGTGGTTGTTAGGGCTAGGGTTACATTTTCATCAATGAGAAAATTATTGGTAGTTTAATGTGTAATAGAAAACAGTTAATAAATCAGTGCTGTAAATCTCTATAGAAGTTGCCTTTAGAAGCTACTGTTCAGTCCATCTTTAAAGTTTTCTTTCCCAAATACCAGATTAAAAAAAAAATCTAAAAATAGTTTTTAAATCAACTTTGCTTTGTTTAGACTAATTACTATTTGACATCAGAACAGATTTCTCTGGTAACCGTACAGTATTTCCACAGCTAGTTGTTTGGAAAGTGGTCTGGGAACTACCATTTTATATCTAGGAAAATATGTTCTGAATTCCAAATCACTTCATTTTTAAATGAAGAAGCTGAGTGCTTCTGAGGTTTTATTGAGTACAGATCCTGCCACTTATTAGCTGGGCCATTTTGAACAGTTACCTATTCTCTATATATCTGAGTTTCCTTTTTAGACAACAAAGTTTACAGAGCTGTTGTTAAGAAACAAGATAGTGAAACTCAGCAAATAACTTAAAAAAAGAAAAAACTGCATTTATGTTCTATACATACACATTGGTTACCTCGTCCTTTAATCGTGCAAAAATACATAATTCAAGCAGTTTATTCTTTTATTCCTTTTCTTCATTTAATCATAAAAAAAAAGATACATAATTCATGCCGTTAAACTCCCTGTACCTCCCTGGTATCATATTCTCACTTACAGACTGACAGCAAGAGAATGAAAGGGGAGGGGACCAGCTGCTTGGTAATTTGACAGGTGGCAAGGAGGAAGGAACTTACTAGGACAGCAATCACAGGATGCTAAGTTATCTCAACCCCAGTGTGAGATGTAGCAAATTACTAGGGCACATTATTCCTAAGTTAATAAGGTCTCATTAGAATCCATCAGAATATGTTGATAGCTCAAAATCTTGAGTCTGAGAAACTTTTATCTTGGAGAAAGGGAATAAGCCCGAATCTCTCACTAGAAACAATGAACCACTTGCTAAATAGGAGGAAACTGAAAATGGTCATGACAATTACCAAGGACTCTTCTAGTCTCTTTCCTTAGAGCATAGACTTGTCTGACAGAGAAAGACATAGGAGCTGGGTAGTTGTTTGTTTGTTTGTTTTTTAAATATATTGGTCTGAAGACTAGTAAGTTGCCATTTTTTATTAGCTTAAAAAATATTTCAAAAGCTTTATTTCTGACTTCTCAGCACCCTGGTTTGTTTCCTTACAAAATCTCATTTTTTCACGCTGTTAAAGACATTAAAGTAAAAGGCCAGTAATTTACACGTCAATTAGATTTCTGTTTACATGAAGGCATCCTAAGGAGTACAGCCACGTAAAATGGACACTTTTTAATAAATGTGAAAACGGTATCATGAAGAGAAATGAACTAAACAAAATGCTAAACAAAAACAAAATACTCAAATGTGCTGGAGCAAACACAACTTTTTAAGTCCAAGCAAGAAAATTCCCTTACTCTGACAAAGAGCGCAGTGTCTTGGATTTCTCGGATAGGCCCAGTCAGTCAGCGGGTCAGGTCTATGGCAACAACTGCAGCTGCGGAACAGGTTTGCCGATTGCTCTGAAAAGTGCAGCTGAAGCCCAGGAAATCCTAACCCGGACGGACCGCGGCTCCTTCCCCCACGGAGCTTAAAAGTGTGTGCGCGAAAGCTGGAGGGAAGTTTCCTCCGGTTTCTCAAAATCCACTGGTCACCACCCCCGAAACCACCACCCACGTTACCTCAATTAAGTTTTTTTTTTTTTTTAAACGGAAAATAAGAAACCCGCCCCCGGCTGGCGGACGGCGGTGGCGCGGAGAGGCCGCCGGGCGCCCGGGTCGGGCTCAGGCGGGAAACCCGGGTCCAGGGCGCCCGGTCCTCGGCCCCGACGCCGCCTCCGAGCCTGGGGCCGCGACGGGCCCCGAGCACTCGGCGGCGCTCAGGTGTGCTCAGCGCCACAAGCTCGCGCCCAGCGCCGCCCGCCCGGAGCCGCGTCCCCGCCGTGAGCCCCGGGGGCGCCCCGCGGCTGCTGGGGGCCCCGCCCCGCTCTGGCCGCGCCGGCGAGGCCGCGAGAGGAGGCGCGTCTCCCCGCGGCGCCCCGACACCGGCCCGGGACCCCGCGCCCTCCGCGCCCTGAAGTCGACTCGCTTTATTCTGGCGACTCCACGCGGTGGGGGACCCCGCGGCAGTCGCCGGTCGCACGCGCCGGACCCCCCAACCGCACGGGCAGCCTCACCTCGCCGTGACCTTGCTCTCGCGCGCCCTCTCCGGAAGGCCCGCCCCCGGGCCGCCGACGCGCAGGCGCGGCCAGAGCGACGCGGGAGCGAGCGGGTCCGCCGGCGCCCTCTGCGGGCGGCCTCGGGGGTCGCGCGGGCGCCCGCGCCGTCAGGGCGACGCTCCCTGGACGCCGGCCCGTGGGTGGCCTGGGGAGAGAGGCCGGGCCGGGCGTCCTGCGGTGTCCCGCGACGAGCTGACTGCATTTTCTTGGAAATAGCTGCAGGATCCACCCCCCCCCCCATCTCTAAAGCAGTGCCGTGCCTGCGCCTGTGTTGGAGAGTGAAAAGCACCTTTTCTCCCCTACCGCCATTTTGTTTGTGTGTTTCCACTCTCTCCTCATGCAGCCCTGGCTTTGACCCGCTCCAGAGGCATTGCTTGACTCCAGGGACCGAAGATTCTTCTGACCTAACAGGTGTGCCACCTATCCTCTCGTCCTCTACTAGGGCAACTAGTATCGCCCTCAGGAGGCCGTTTTTCATAGCCCTTTGCTGGATTAGAGGGGCCGTTTGCTGCACCCACGTCACTACCCTCTTGATCTGGAAGCTTCTTCAGGGAGCAATGATGGGACATTTATCTGACTCTTTAGTAGACACTGCTTGGCAGATAAATGGAAACAGTATTTCACTCCATACTAAATCTGCTTTCAAGCAAACCGCACCCCTTCAGCATTGTGTGAAGTATATACTGAATATCTGATAGTTTGAGAAGATTAATTATTTTCTGAGCATCTTTCAAGGTCTTTTGTAATACTCTAAAATGTACTCTGGAGCCTCCCTGGTGGCAGAGGGGGTTGAGAGGCTACCTATGAAGCTATCACAGCCACTGCAGCGCCGAGTTGGATCCCCGGCGGGCCAAGGAGCGACCCACGTGGCGCAGCAGACCTCTCCTGCCTCATCTGCTGCTCCCCTCAGCAGTGTTTTTCAGTTTGTTCGCCTGTTCTGTTCCCCACTCTATCTCTGGTGAATCCTCTAACCCACCTACACCTCTGGCCTATACCCCGGTTCTTGAATGCATAAATAAATACATCTTTTAAAAAAAATAAAATGTACTCTGGGAATAAGGTACATCAAAAGCAAGCTATATACCTATGGGATATCATATTGACACCCTCTTCCCTACTGTAAAATTTTGTTATCTTTTGACATAAATTATGCTATAGAATTTGTTTTTATCAAACTGTTTTGGCGTGTGAACCTATGATTTGGTAAGTAGCCTTATAAAACTGGGTCTCATATAAGAAGCTTACTATTGTTACATTTATGCATGGTGTAATGAGTATCTCTTATCCTTTTTTGCATAGTTCAGTGCAAGAAAACATCTTGAGTAGAAATTTCACCTTGTCTTTTGTGTTTCTGTGGAGTTATAGTTTGTCTTCAGTGACCACTGAACCATAAATCAAGGAGGCTTCCTTTGTGGGTTAGCAGTCAGAAAATTTAAAGCCAAAATGGCAGGGAACTGATGGCAAGAACTATTACATGTATATTTGCATAAAACTTGTTATTGGATCCAGTTTATATATCTATCTGGTATTTTCCTTTTTACCATTCACTATTTGTGTTATCAGTATATTTTATGAATCGCCGTAAGCTTCTGTCGCTCTTTCTAGAAACATAGTAAGAATAAAGGGTTACAGGTGGCTGTGTACTTTGGACACTGCACTACAGCTCTCATTAAGTCAAGATCATGGGCTTAATAGTAAATTCCTTAATCTACTATAAAAAAATACTACAAACTTGGTGACTTAAAGCATTAGAAGTTTATTCTCTTACAATCTGGAGGCTAGAAATTAAAAATTTGTATCATAAGGCCAAAAATCAAAGTATGTCAGGGCTACACCCCTCCAGAGGCTCTGGAGTAGAATCGGTTCTTTTATTCTTTCAGCTTCTGGGGTTATTGGCATCCATTAACTTGTGGCCACTCACCCTAGTCTTCAAGATCAGCATTTTCAAACATCTCTCTCCTTCCACTTTTCCTCACTTTCTCTAAGTGTGTCAGATCTTCTACTACCTTCCTTATGGGATACGTGTAACTACATATTTAGGGCAAACCTGGATAATGCAGGATAATCTCCTCATCTCAAGGTCCTTAATTTATTCATATCTGCAAAGGCTCTTTTTAAATATATATTAGTATTTGCAACTTCCAGGGATTAGGACCTGAATCCCTGGGGGATATTTTCCGGTCTACCGTGGAACTGGAACAGCAAGCCTGTGATATGGGCCCATACGAACTGCTACAACCAATGGGGGAGTTAGAATATTAGGTTGGCAAACTAACAACAGAAAAAATATTTAACTTACCATGGATATTGACTTGCAGAACTTGGTTTACCTAGTTGTACTTCCAAGCTAACGCTTCTTTAAGGGCACTTGTTACAATCAGAGGTTGCCTTGCATAGCTCTGTTTCTTATAGCCCAGTGTTTTCAAAATTGTGGGCTATGAGTCATTAGTTGGTTGTGAAATCAATTTCGTGGTCAGGACATTAGAAACTATCAGAGTGCATCATGTGTAGTGAGGGTAATTATTGTTTTATGAAACAATATGTATGTGTGCATTGCATCATAATGTACAATGCTTGTGATAAAATGGAAAATCTCTGCTGTAAGCAGATTCATTATTCATCAAACTCTATGGCAAATATTCCTTGTCATTACACAGAATAAAAATGAAAGCTCTTATCAACTTCAGTTCTTACTGTATAATCCAAGTGGGTGAATACTTACTCCTTTAAGTAAATTAATTTACGGAATCCATATTTCCAGTAAGTTCTCTTACCTAGCATGTTACAGATAGCATGCCTTTATAATAGTTCTTTTCTCACTTTGCAAAAGGAAGGAATGGCACTATGTGAGGTATGAAATCCTCTAGGATAACAGAGAAAAGGACAAACATTTTTTAGAGGAGGTTTCCTTTAGTGATCAATCAAGGTACCATAATCTCTTCGTAGGCTTCCTGTCATATCTATATTCCAGGTAAGGGTGAAATATGGCTGTTAGAAATAACTGACTACTTGTGATTTTCTGAAATCAGATATAGTGTGTGTGTGTGAATGGTGGCAGTAATAGTGACGTTCCTTTACTCGTCATGTCTCTTCCATCCTGTGTTGTGGATCAGCACATCATTATTGAAGGACAGGCTGGGTAAGAGCAAAGCAAAGCCTTGAAGAAAATATTGAACTGCAAAATTTCAACATAAGCAATTCTTTTCGGCTAATGTCAATACTTATCTGTAGGATGTAGTGTTATCTGGAAAGAAAAGCAACTTTGTAATACACTGAGTTTAATGACAACAGTTTAATTGGAAAACCTACTTTCAGCATCCAGCTAAACACAATATTCAATTCGATCCGTAACACATGCGCGTGCACTTGTGCACGCGCGCGCACACACACACACACACACACACCCCTTTTCTGCTTTTTTAGGAATACATCATTTTTCTAAATCGCAGTTAATTCTTAAGGAGTGTGTTTTTTTTTTTACACATACTGACTGATGTACAAATCAGAGGAAGAAATAAAATGAAAAAAACCCTGCCTTTTTTGAAAGCATAACTTTACCTGAGCTGTAATCATGCGGCATAAGTTACTTTAATACATTGTAACATATTCTTTGTTACATTATTAATTTTAGTAACTCGGCTAGCACTAATAACACATTAATTCATCCAAACAAACACTATTGACCCAGATACTGTTCTAAATATTGGGGGTAAGATAATGATAATGTAGTAAAACATGTTTGCTCTCCTGGGGCATAATTCTAGTGGCAGAGAATGGTTGATAATTGTATTTTAATAAAGTTATATATTACATAGTGATAAATAATTTTTGATGCAAAAATTTATAGTGGACTGTCTTTAATGCAGATAATTTACACCAGGAGAGACTTGATGAGCTTATGTGCTTGGGCATTGTGTGTAGGAGATTTATTCTGAACTCATAGTCCTGTAATAGATACAATTATATAATTTTTCATTTTAAAAGATAATTAAAATGCCCACGGAAAATTATTTTATAATGAGCAGCCCATTCCAATATAATTTTGTAAAGTTTTGAACCTTTTTTAAATTGAACATTGAGTTTTTTTTTTTTAATTTATTTATTTATGCATACAGGAATTGGGGTACAGGCCAGAGGGGTGTGTGTGTGTGTGTGTGTGTGTGTGTGTGTGTGTGTGTGTGAGAGAGAGAGAGAGAGAGAGAGAGAGGATTCACCAGAGACACAGCGGGGAACAGAACAGGCAGATAGATGGAAATACACTGCTGAGGGGAGCAGAGGGTAAGTCAGGAGAGGTCTGCTGTGCCATGTGTGTTGCTCCCTGACTGGGGATCGAACTCGTGCTGCAGAGGCTGCAGATAGCTTCATAGGTTGTGTCTTAACCCCTTGTGCCACCAGGGAGGCCCCCTCATTGAGTTTTGTTAAAAAACAGCTTGACCAGTCAAAATAGTAGCGGTTCATGACACATTATTTTAAATATAAAATGTTTAATTTTTCGGGCCTCCCAGGTGGCGCAGCGGTTGAGCGCTGGGTTGCGAAGCTGCCCGCGGCCTCTGCGGCGCCGGTTCGATCCCCGGCTGCTCCCCGGCCACCGGAGGAGGGTCCCACATGGCGCGCAGACCTCTCCTGCCGCCCGCTGCTCCCCTCAGCAGTGTCCTTCGGTCCTTCTGCCTGCTCTGCTCCCCGCTCTGGCTCTGGTGAATTCTCTCACCCTCCCGCGCTTCTGACTGTACCCAGTGCATGTATAAACCAAACAAACAAACAAATAGATAAATAAGACATGCCTCTAGAAAATTAAAAAAAAAAAATGTTTAATTTTTCCATTTTTAATGCAAAATGGAATATTCACACATACTGCAATAAACTGAAAAAAAAAATACATCATTTTATCTTAGATTTGATATGTGTTGTTCAAAGAGGTTAAGGCATACTGTGAAAATCACTGATACAGATCACCAAATGTTTTCCATCCACAGCCTCTGTCCACAAACATTTAGGACATGA